ATCATTTTATGAGACCAACATCATCCTGATCCCAAAACCCAGCAGAGACTCAACAAAAAAAGAAAACTTCAGGCCAATATCCATGATGAAAACAGATGCAAAAATCTTCAATAAAATGCTGGCAAACCGACTGCAAGAGCATATCAAAAAGCATATCCACCACGATCAAGTAGGCTTCATCCTGGGGATGCCAGGCTGGTTCAACATATGTAAGTCTATAAATGTAATCGACCACATAAACAAAACCAAAGATAAAAACCATGATTATTTCAATAGATGCAGAGAAGGCCTTCGACAAAATTCAACAACACTTTATGCCAAAAACTCTCAATAAACTAGGTATCGATAAAACGTATCTCAAAACAATAAAAGCTATTTACGACAAACCTACAGCCAATATTATACTGAATGGGCAAAAACTGGAAGCATTCCCTTTGAAATCTGGCATAGACAAGGATGCCCTCTCTCACTGCTCCTATTCAATATATTATTGGAAGTTCTAGCCAGAGCAATCAGGCAAGAAAAAGAAATAAAGGGTATTCAATTAGGAAAGGAGGCAGTCAAATTGTCTCTATTTGCAGATGACATGATTGTATATTTAGAAGACCCCCAACATTGTCTCAGTCCAAAATCTCCTTAAACTGATAAGCAACTTCAGCAAAGTCTCAGGAAACAAAATCAATGTGCAAAAATCACAAGCATTCCTATACACCAATAACAAGACTTAAAGAGAGCCAAATCAAGAATGTACTGCCATTCACAATTGCTACAAATAGGATAAAATACCTGGGAATACAACTAACATAGCTCAAGGAAATAAGAGAGGACACAAACAGATGGAGAAACATTCCATGCTCATGGTTAGGAACAATCAATATCGTGAAAATGGCCACACCACTTAAAGTAATGTACAGATTCAACACTAACCCCATCAAGCTACCTAAGACCTTCTTCACTAAACTGGAAAAAAACAACTTAAACTTCATATGGAACCAAAAGAAAACCCACATAGCCAAGACAATCCTAAGCAAAAAGAACAAAGCCGGGGGCATTATGCTACCCAACTTCAAATTATACTACAAGGCTACAGTAATCAAAACAGCACAGTATTGGTACCAAAACAGAGATGTAGACCAATGGAACAGAACAGAGCCTTCAGAGGCAACGCCACATATCTACAACCATCTGATCTTTGACAAACCTTACATAAACAAGCAATGGGGAAAGGATTCCCTGTTTAATAAATGGTGTTGGGAAGCCTGTAATCCCAGCACTTTGGGAGGCCAAGGCGGGTGGATCACGAGGTCAAGAGATCGAGACCATCCTGGTCAACATGATGAAACACCGTCTCTACTAAAAATACAAAAAAAAAATTAGCTGGATATGGTGGCGTGTGCCTGTAATACCAGCTACTCAGGAGGCTGAGGCAGGAGAATTGCCTGAACCCAGGAGGTGGAGGTTGCGGTGAGCCGAGATCACACCATTGCACTCCAGCCTGGGTACGAAGAGCGAAACTCCGTCTCAAAAGATACAAATAAAAAATAAAAAAATTAAAAAAACACCAAAAGCATTGGCAACAAAAGCCAAAATAGACAAATGGGATCTAATTAAACTCCAGAGCTTCTGCATAGCAAAAGAAATAATCATTAGAGTGAATCGGCAACCAACAGAATGAGAAAAATTTTTTGCTATCTACCCATCTGACAAAGGGCTAATATCCAGAATCTACAAAGAACTAAAACAGATTTACAAGAAACAAACAAACCCATTCAAAAGTGGGGGAAGGACATGAATAGGCACTTTTTAAAAGAAGACATATATGAAGCCAACAAACATATGGTAAATGCTCATCATCACTGGTCATTAGAGAAATGCAAATCAAAACCACATTGAGATCATCTCATGCCAGTTAGAATGGCAATCATTAAAAAAATCTGGAGACAACAGATGATGGAGAAGATGTGGAGAAACAGGAACACGTTTACACTGTTGGTGGGAGTGTAAACTAGTTCAACCATTGTGGAAGACAGTGTGGCGATTCCTCAAGGACCTAGAAATAGAAATTCCATTTGACCCAGCAATCCCATTACCGGGTATAAATCCAAAGGATTATAAAATCATTCTCTTATGAAGACACATGCACACATATGTTTAATGCAGCAATGTTTACAATAGCAAAGACCTGGAGCCAACTCAAATACCCATTGATGATAGACTGGACAAGGAAAATGTGGCACATCTACACCACGGAATACTATGCAGCCATCAAAAATGATGAGTTTGTGTCCTTTGTAGGGACATGGATGAATCTGGAAACCATCATTCTCAGCAAACTGACATAAGAACAGAAAATCAAACACTGCATGTTCTCACTCATAGGTGGGTGTTGAACAATGAGAACACATGGACACAGGAAGGGGAGCATCACACACTGGGGTTTGCTGAGGGGGACTAGAAGAGGGATAGTGGGGGTAGGGGGGTTGGGGAGGGATAACATGGGGAGAAATGCCAGCTATAAGTGATGGTGGGGATGGAGGAAGCAAACCACATAGCCATGTATATTCCTTTGCAACAATCCTGCATGATCTGCACATATACCCCAGAACATAAAGTATAATAAAAAATCTATAATATAATACATATTTAAAAAACAAAATACATTAAATAGGATTAATGGAAGATGAGACATTAGAGAAGAAAAGATTACACAACTGGAAAATATAGTGGTAGAAACTATCAAAAATGAAAAGTGGAACAGAAAAATTTTTTTAAATGAATAGAACATGAGTGAGTTGTGGGTCAAATTCAAGCAGGCTATTACACATGTAATGTAATTGTAGTTTTCTAGGAAGCGGAGGGTGGAATATTTGAAGAAATTATTGCAAAAGTTGGTCTGAATTTCAAGAAGACCAATAATCCACAAAACCAACACACCCAACAAAACCAAATAAAAGAAAAATGAAGAAAACTATACTGAGACACATTACAATTAAATTGCTCAAAATCAGCATTAAGTGAACAATCTTAGAAGTACCAGGGGGTTGGAAAAGGATGATCCTATTTAAAGGCACAAACAAAAGGATGACTGATTGCTGAACTCTTACCAGCAGCAAAGTGAGCAAGAGGACAGTGAAGTAACGTCAGTAAAGTACTGACAGAAAAAAAAGCTGTCAATCTACAATTCTAACTCCAGCAAAAAATGTCCTTTAAAAATGAAGGCAAAGTAAAGCCATTTTCAGATATATGAAAGCTGAAAGAATCGATCACCAGTAAGCCTATACTGTAAGAGAGATGTTTAAAAAGTCCTTGGAGTCGCCCCAGGTAAATTTAAATTAGAAAAAAAAAAAACAAAAACAACTAGTCCTTCAGGTGGACAGAAAAGGATACTGGACAGAACACAGACTTACATGAATAGCACATGGTACCTACAGGAGTGCCGAAAATGGTAACTACGTTAGTAAATATGTGAGATTCTAAGATTCTAAGCATATAAATCTTTAGCACAGAAATGAATAGATGTTTTGATTAAATTAGATATAAAAATAGATATTTCTGTTGAAGAAAAAAATAATAATAAAGTGTAGGCTTTAGAGCACACGTAAAACAGTGTGGTGGCTTACATCTGTAGTCTCAGCTATTCAGGAGGCTGAGGCAGGAGGATTCCTTGAGCCCAAGAGTTCAGGGCCGCAGTGAGTCATGATCACACCACTGGACCCCAGACTAGGAAAAAGATCAAGAACTGACTCAACCAAAAAAATTAAAAAGTGAAAGTAAAATGTGTGATAAAAATTACACCAAGTTTAAGAAAGGAATAACGGAAGTATAATTTGTAAGGCTCTTCTACACATTAAATAGGATAACATTACTCAAAGATATAGTATAAAATAATAAAGAAATATAATGTAGGCCAGGTGCAATGGCTCACGCCTGTAATCCCAGTACTTTGGGAGGCTGAGGCGGTGGATCACTTGAGGCCAGGAGTTCAAGACCAGCATGGCCAACATGTCAAAAAATTAGCTGGGCACGGTGGCATGTGTCTCTAGTCCCAGCTGCTCAGGAGGCTGTAGCAGGAGAACTGCTTGAACCCACGAGGCAGAGGTTGCAGTGAGCCAAGATCATACCATTGCACTCCAGACTGGGTGACAGACTCTGTCTCAAAAAAAAAAACCAAAAAAAAAGAGGTATAGTGTAAAACCTTGAGCAACTATCAGCAAATAAACAAAAAAAAAAACATAAAATAGAGCCATTTAAAAAAATTCAATTAATCTGGAAGAACACAGAAAAACAGGAAAAGGGAAATCAAAAAGCAGATGAAATAAACAGAAAAAAGCAATATAAATGTATATCTATAATGAAACCACATTAATTTCTACTCTAATTAAAATACAGATATAGATATTAAAATACAAATAAATATATATATTTGTCTATCCTACCAGACTGACGGTTCCTGGAAGCAGATACAGTTTCCTGTGTTTCTCTGCATTGCCAGAACTGTCATATAAAAGGTCTCTCATAAATATAGAGGAAGAGGGGAGGGGAAAGGAGGAAAGACGGTCAGTCTGCTGACTCCCATTTTACTACTCTTTATTCCACAGGAAAGTAATATTATTACTCATTCATGCAACTATGACCTCTTTAATAAGGTAAGGCCACAAAAATCCAGATATGACACCGCTACATAAAACACTTCTAATTAACCCAGTCTCGTATTATATAAGCTTTTCAATGCATTTTTAATAGCTTTCCCAATGACAGCATTTTTGATCTGCGTACTTGACCCACACTGATAGTAAAGTCCCCGTTAACCAAGCAGAAAAGAAACTCGCTGGTCCAGGCAGCCAGCACAAGCGATCCGCAGAAAGAAGAAGGGGAATCTTCAGGCTGCTGTATCTGCCACTATGAATAGCTGCCAAGCTGACTAGAGAGAGACTTCATTCTAGGTAGTAGATTAGAATGCCTAAGAGTGTAGACACACAACGATTCTTGAAGGTTTTCACCTTGTTTAGTAAGGGCTTCTCGGAGAGCAGGAGTTATCATAGCTCTTCCTTCACCATCTTCGTTCCTCCCCATGTTCACCAACAAACTAGTCTTCGCTTCCTGCTGTTCCTTTTCTCTCTGCATTAAAATTAAAAGAATGAAATCCAGAATTGGCAATGTGCAATGCAAATAACAGCACAATCATGAACACCCAGCATCAATCATGAACACCTAGCATCAATAAAAAGGTCCGCTATGAGGCTGGGAGGGGTGGCTCATGCCTATAATCCCAGCATCTGGGGGGCTGAGGCAGGTGGATCACCTGAGGTCAGGAAATGGAGACCATCCTTGCAAACATGGTGAAACCCATGTCTACTAAAAATACAAAAATGAGCCAGGCATGGTGGCTCACACCTAATCCCAGCAACTCAGGAGGCTGGGGCAGGAGAATTACTTGAACCCAGGAGGCAAAAGGTACAGTGAACCAAGATCTTGCTACTGCACTCCAGCCTTGGCAACAGAGAGAGACTCTGTCTCAAAAAATAAATAATTATAAATAACTTTCAAAAAAAATTTTTTAAGGTGTGTTATGAACCATGGCTCACAAAGCCTGTCCTCTCCAAAGTGAACAGATTCCCAACCAGACAACAATCTAAAGACATGCCAGGATGTTCTTTAAGTAACTATATACTCAAACGTACACACCCAAAAACATAAATCTACAATTCACTTATCTAAGTGTCAAACATTTTCAGCAATCTGAGTACACACAGCTACCTAACTTGAGCAAGTTCTTTATTTTCTCTGGATTTCAATTCCCTCACCTGAAAAGGAAGAAAAATAATACCAATAGAGAAGAAATATGTTGAAGGTTAAATGAAAAAAAATCACAACACAACCCCTGATGCATAAAAGGTGTTCAATAAATTATAGCTGCTGTTGGTATTACATCGCTAAGCCCCAAAAACAAGTGAAAACAGGACCGTAAGCCACCCTGAGAGCCATCAGCACAGAGACCAAGTGACCCTGCCACCACCAACAGCCATCCCAATAGCTGCTTCTATTTTATCTTTTGAAACAGCATGTCACTTTGTCGCCCAGGCTAGAGTGCAGTGGTGTGATCTTGGCTCATCACAACCTCCACCCCCCGGGTTCAAGCGATTCTCCTGCCTCAGCCTCTGGAGTAGCTGGGACTATAGGCAACCACCACCACGCCCAGCTAATTTTTGTATTTTTAGTAAAGACAGGGCTTCACTGTGTTGGCCAGGCTGGTCTCCAACTCCTGACCTCATGATCTGCCCACCTCAGCCTCCCAAAGGGCTGGGATTACAAAGGTGAGCCACTGCACCCAGCCAAAAGTTTATTTGCATATATTTTAATTATATCTCCACATCTTTTTGGGAATGGCAGAGTGCTCAGTATTAACTTCAGAGACAACACACAAAGTCTGTGTTATACTTTAGAGGAGATACTCATCAAATCTTGCTGACAGCTGCCGAGATCCACAATAACTCATCTTAGCAGTGGCCCTATCATGAGCCCCTGACCACCCTGGTGCCTGCCTACTTTAAATGCCTGGCCAACCAGCCCCAGGTGAATAGGGGAAACACCCTTTCTACCTAAACATGAGAATACCTCACAGATGATATGAGGTCTGAGATCTACGTCAAACTACAACAGAGGCTGGGTGCAGTGGCTCATGCCTATAATCCCAGCAATTTGGGAGGTCGAGGTAGGCAGATCATGAGGTCAAGAGATCTAGACCACCCCAGCCAACATGGTGAATCCCCACCTCTACTAAAAGTACAAAAATTAGTTGGGCGTGGTTGTCCACGCCTGTAGTCCCAGCTACTTGGGAGGCTGAAGCAGAAGAATAGCTTGAACTGGGAGGCAGAGGTTGCAGAGAGCCAAGATCATGCCACTGCACTCCAGCCTAGAAACAGAGTGAGACACCGTCTCAAAAAAAAAAAAAAAAAAAAAAAAAAAAAGGCAAGTATGTGGCACTGACTGGGTGTGCTGGCTCACGTCTGTAATCCCAGCACTTTGGGAGGCCAAGGTGGATGGATCACCTGGGGCAAAGAGTTCAAGACCATCCAGCCAGATCAACATGGTGAAACCCCATCTCTACTAAAAATACAAAAATCAGATGGGTGTGGTGGCGCATGCCTGTAATCCCACATACTTGGGAGGCTGAGGCAGGAGAATCGCTTGAATCTGAGAAGCAGAGGTTGCAGTGAGCCAAGATCGCACCACTGCACTCCAGCCTGGGAAACAAGAGCGAAACTCTGTCTTAAAAATAAATAAATACAAATAAAAAAACAAAACAGAAGGGGACATACAAAGGTTACGTGAGAAAGAATGGCCCATATGATGCTGGTTGATGAGGCCAGGAAATAGGTAATAAGATTTCACTATGTCACTCTGTGTACTTTTGAGAACATTCAGTGTCCCCAGTATATAAAATGTAAAACAAGATTAAAAATTTTGACACTCGGCCTATGCAGTGGCTCGGCCTGTAATCCCAGGCATGAGATTTCAGAGACTGAGGAGGGTAGATTACATGAGGTCTGGAGTTCGACACCAGCCTGGCCAACATGGTGAAACCCAGTGTCTACTAAAAATACAAAAATTAGCCAGGCATGGTGGCAAGCGCCTAGAATCCCAGCTACCAGTGAGGCTGAGGCAGGAGAACTGCTTGAACCCTGGAGGCGGAGGTTGCAGTGAGCAGAGATTGCGCCACTGTACTCCAGCCTGGGCAACAGAGAGAGACTCTGCCTCAAAAAATAAAAAAGTTCAGATGAGGTGGCTCACACCTGTAATCCCAGCATTTTGGGAGGCCAAGGCGGGTGGATCACGAGGTCAAGAGATCGAGACCATCCTGGCCAACATGGTGAAACCCCGTCTCTACTAAAAATACAAAAATTAGCTGGGCATGGTGGCGTGTGCCTGTAATCCCAGCCACTCGGGAGGCTGAGGTAGGAGAATCGCCTGAACCCGGGAGGCAGAGGTTGTAATGAGCTGAGATGGCGCCACTGCACTCCAGCCTGGTGACAGAGCGAGACTCCATCTGAAAAAAAAAAATTTTTAGCATACACAGACAGCAAATGAAATTTGGCGTCAATATCTCTACATTCCAGATTACTTCAAGGACATGCTCTGAAATAGGAAATCAGTGAAAAAGTACTTTAGAAAGTAAAATGTACCAAATGAGAAAAAAAAAAAACACATTAAGTTCTATCTGTCCTAAAAGCTGGCATTCCAAATTACTAAATATAATCAAAATGCAAGGCAAATGAACATTTTTGCTTCCAGTAATAGGGTTCTTAATTACGTATTACTGGATGGAGCTGAAAAAAATTCATAAACAAACATCAATCATTTGTTCTCATAATAAATGTAATTAGCTTAATGCTAGGCCTTTTATACAAATAAAAAGGCTCCAGTTATTATTTTGTTAAGATAGTTTAGAACAGAAGGAACCCTCTGCCTTTTGTTTTCTGAGATGAGCTCTTGCTATGTTGCTCAGGATGGTCTCAAACTCCTGGGCTCAAGCGAGCCTCCCACCTCAGCTACCCAAGTGTTCTTTGTTTTGTTTTGTTTTCTTTAGTCTGAAAGCAAAGGTGTGAGCATGATAAAGAAGACTTGTGTCTCACGCCTATAATCCCAGCTCTTTGGCAGGCCAAGGCGGGTGAATCACCAGGTCAGGAGATCGAGACCATCCCGGCTAGCACCACAGTGAAACGCCATTTCTACTAAAAATACAAAAAATTAGCCAGGTGAGGTGGCGTGCGCCTGAAGTCCCAGCTACTTGGGAGGCTGAGGCAGGAGAGTCACTTGAACCCAGGAGGTGGAGGTGGCAGCAATCCGAGATCGTGCCATTGCACTGCAGCCCAGGAGACAGAGCGAGACTCCGACTCAAAAAAAAAAAGAAAAGAAGTCTCGTGGTGAAACGACATGAAGAAATCCCAACCTTGAAAACATTTCAGTTCTCTGAAGCAACCCTATAGCAAGCTGCTAACCATGTAAAAAACTGGTAAGAGATGGCAGTGTATGCCCTCAAAAGCCTCTGTCACCACGAAACATCACCAGCTTATTTGCTAAACCCAAGGGCCATGTAAATCCGAAACTGGCCTCTGACCACTACGCCCAAGACTCCAGACACCCTCTTGGGGTTTTAAACAGACTTGTGGCCCCGACGAAAGGAACAGATTCTAAAGGTGTCCCTGCGTCGTCAGCAGAGAAAGGACGGGTTATAAAACGTGAGTGCTGCAACCCTGCAGTCGGCCATAAAGGCGAGGATCAAAGGTCTGGGGCGCTCAGGACTAAGACATTCATCACTCCTTCCCTGGAGGGCGGCTCAGTCCCACCTTCCACGTGCCGCGGTGACCGCGCTTCTGAAAAGGAATGCAGCGGCTCCGAACACTGCACGAGGGGCTTTAACGCACGATTCAAATGCTAACTAATCTGCAGGTGCAGACGTTGTTTACTCTCTGCCCAGAATGTAACAACAGGACAACCACGTAAGACCCGTGTCTTTTCACGTATTTATCCATTCATAGCTGTTACATGGGCTACGCAGAAATTAATGAGATCCCAGAATCAGCTCACCTTGACTTCTTCCTCTCCTGCACCACCCCATTCAAAGATGGCCGGTCAAGTTCTGTAACCACATAACCAGCCCGATCTGGTTCACTTATGTGTAGTAAAACAGTAAGTTTTATTTCAGTTGCCATGAATCCCCAGGTTGTACGTCAGGTAACTCGAGCACAGATGAACCGAGTGTGCCCAGTGAGTGACACCAGAGGCAATCAGAACTCAGAAGTCAACCACAGGCAGAACCAAAGGGCTCGGATCAGGGAAAAGGGAGAATTAAGAAGCAAGCCTCGGCATCACCTCAGGGCGTGCTCCAATCAGATCACGCCTCGGCATCACCTCAGGGCGTGCTCCAATCGGATCACGTCTCGGCATCACCTCAGGGCGTGCTCCAATCGGATCCCGCCTCGGCATCACCTCAGGGCGTGCTCCAATCGGATCCCGCCTCGGCATCACCTCAGGGCGTGCTCCAATCGGATCCCGCCTCGGCATCACCTCAGGGCGTGCTCCAATCGGATCCCGCCTCGGCATCACCTCAGGGCGTG